TTTTTTATGAGGGTAACATTATGCTTAAGACATAAGTTTTCTAATAATTTGTTATACTGTTCTATTTTATTGGAATGGACTCTACCATCATACCTCATAATGACATTAGAGACAGCAATCTTCTTTGTGTGGGTTTTCACCTCATTGATAAGATCATCCATATCCTTTGCCACTTTGTTAGCATTAAGAACATTTGAAATAACAGTATACCAAACACATTCAGCAAGAACATTTGAAATAACAGTATACCAAACATTTAATAAGAATAACTTGGAGGGATATTTGAATGTTTCACAATTCGCAAGATAAAAATGATACTACGGCAGTTAGATGTTTACTATGGATTTCTCAAAAGCATTCGACAATGTGAAACATTATCACCTGGTTGAAAAATTGAAATAGAGTCCTCTTAATCCCTATATTATAAATTGGTACATGAGTTTCCTTGCGGATAGAAAACAGCGAGTTATATAATGGTATAAAAAGCGAATAGAGGGCAGTTAACAAAGGAACAATACAGGGCAGTGTTAGTGGCACGTATACCTTTTCAATGTGTTTCTAAATGATTTGGAATTAAGTGATCAAGAGAACACGCCATTACACAAATACACAGATGATTCTACAATCTTAGCAATAAGACAGATCAGAAATAGCTTTGTCGACGTTTGTGGAATGGACCCAGTTAAATAGCATGCCATGTAATATCGGTAAATGCAAACAATTAGTTCCACGAAAGAAAAGGAAACCGAGATTATATAACATCGAGCAATATAGCAGTCTGGTTCTCTTTGGAACTAGTTACGCTGCAAAGTAATTATAAGTTTAGCGAGCATGTAAAAATTAAGCTGTGTGCACGTGAAGCAAATAAATGTTTATTTATAATCCGAAGCTTCCGCAAAGGATGCACATTGCACACAAGCTGAGATAGATCACTTGTTTAATTTAAATCGATAGTGCTTCCTAAAATATTGTATGGCCTTCCAGTTTATGCAGCTAGTGATTCTGATCTAACAGTTGTTCAAAACTTTTTAAGCCGATGCTATAAGGGACGGTATATACTTCAGTAAATTTTAATATTTTAGAACTTTTAGAGAAATGTGATCGTCGACTTTTTAACAAATGTAGCAGAGACGAATACCATCCCTTATATGACCTTAACTTCTTCCTACGTACAAAGAAACATTCTGTACGCCTCAAAAATCGCTGAAGTCAAAGACCAAGGATAGCTTTTTTAATGGATTAATATGTAGGTATAATTTAGCTATACATGCAAATATGTATAAAACAATCTGATATGTATTTTTATCTGATGAATGAATTAAAGACATATTATTAATGATATGCAGCATACCATGTCAAATAACTTTCTGACTTTCAGTCGCATTTCTCTCAAAATATTGTCAATTCGTGTGTAGGCCTACATCGAGATTCGTATATATGAAATCTTTAGGGCTTGAACCAAACCATTTCGTATTCTAAAGCCCCGTTTACACGAGCAAATTTTATTTGACAAATTTCATTTGATCAAATGCATTTGATCAAAAGCTAGCATGCTAGCTTTTGTTCAAATGCATGCATTTGTCACAATAAATTTGTCACAAATTTATCATCTATACACGAGTAAATTATCTTTGACATATGAAATTTGTCAACTAAAATTTGCTCGTGTAAACGGGGCTTTAGTGTCGTTAAGCTATGTTTTTCAAACTTTTTGGGCAGATTTTTTTACTCTAAAAATTGTTTCACTCCTCGGTTTTGGCGCGAAAAATTTCAGAGCGGGCAGTTGCATTTCACAGCGGACAGTAGCGTTTCACAGCGGGCCGGATGCGAAAAACCGGGCCGCTCTGAAAGGATCTTTAGCCAGTCAGATTGCTTGATTTTCACTGATAAAAAATAAATGTGTTTATTTGTACCCACGCCACTAATTTTGAGACGTCTTCGTTAGAAATGTCACTATAGCCTATCGCCATTTTCGAAAATATTCACAATATTTTTGTCCTATAGATTGGAATAGTGAATGTTATACATACTGATTACTACGTCTTTCTTTCTAAAAGATTTAATAGTAAAATGTTACCATTATCAATCTCTAAAATCGCAATTAATTGAGACGATTATATTGAATATCCATAATGTTCCATTTCAGTTTGTTTTAAAAATATTGTTTTATGTAAATACTTGGGTCAACTTTCTTAGCTTTATCAAAACATTCTTCACAGTCGGATTTTCTTGCTTTTCCAAAACGATACAAGTGACTCAATACGTAACCAAGCTGTCTTTGTTGTTCAGCGAACAGCTTAGGATCTTCCTTTCCAGATGACATTGTAACCGCATTTTGTAGAAGATCGCGAGCATCTGTAAGATACTTCAAAATAGCTGCGTTCCTTCTTAGAATAGACCTTATATCCTTTTTATGAGTCTTTATTTTATAAATTTGATACTTAATGCAGGCAAAATGGAATGCTAGAATCCCGTGTTGTGACAAAATGGATGGACCATAGGCTTCAAGTAGCTGGTGTGCAGCTTGATTTGATTCTAGGATAAGCTTTTTCATACCATCCACAGTTCGTTCTTTATACAAGTCGTGCACAAAAGCAGTGACCCCCGATAAATCGTCAGCATCGGCATCGGCTTTGATCACTTTCTTAACCAACGAAACACCCAACGAAATGTTTTCCCGAGCATGCCTTTTATTTCTTAACCATCTTTGCAGCTCTAGTAACAAAACACATCGCTCTTTGGTAGCGGCGTCAATATACGTTTCGTATTTCTTCACATTTGGATGTTCACAATTATTATCCAACAAGGTAATTAATTTTTGTATTAGATGTTGGCTGATGATCGTTGGATCTTCATCGAAAGCTTTTTGGAGAATTTCACTTGCTTCCAACTGATTTCCACTTGCCTCCTTTTCTTCAACATCTTTCAGTAACATAGCTGCTTTAAACTTCGGATGAGCTGGCAAGGTTACACGGAAGTAAGCAGTACTAAATTGAAATGTAGGAGTTGGATTATCATTTTTTTCCATCGTTCGAAATATTGTTTCAACGCCAGTCCCACGAGCTTCGGCCAAATTAAGTTGCCTGAGGAATTCACCAATCCTCCGATTTCTTGCTTGAACTGGTGGAATGACAGACCCTCTGGTAAATTCTTCCTGTTTAAGACTAGGATTTGGTCCTGGGTAGCTTGTAATCTCCAAACAGTGGGGTCGTATAGACACTTTGGTAGAGCTGCTATTCTCAGGCTCGTATCCTCGATGGTAAACTGCATTGACAATAGCTTCTCGAAGAGCTTTATGGGGGTACGTGACTAAGCTTGCGGACTTCATTTTATTGGTTGTAGAAAAAACATACTCCATGCATTGTTTTATTTGATCTTGTAATGGACCATCAAACTTCTTTTCACTCCCAACTATTACTTCGTTGTCTCTAGTAAACTGAGTAACTTCAATTAGTGCGCCTGGAAAGTACTCGTGTGGTACACGATTGAACATCAAAAGAGCTACGTTCTTTGGCGTATAAACTGGTTTTAGGCGGCCATCCACTACTTCATCCCCACACAACGCCACAAGCTTTAACTTCTTGAGAATGCTGCGATCTTTACTTCTCTCCATTTTACTACCAACGTCATCAAGGAATGCCATTACAAGTTGATAACCAATTGCATCATGATGAATTCTTTTTCCAGACTCTATAACGCAAAATTATTTATTTATTATTATTTTGTTTAAAAATTTTATTGAAAGACCCTAGCCCCATCAACAAAAGCTGGTTGAATACTTGAATGACATGTGGGCGGGCGGTGCCTCCGGACTGCATGCAATATATATAAAACATTGATGTCGACACGATGTAAAAAAAAATGACTAGAATAACAAACAAATGAGGTAAATACGAGGACACGGCAACAACTGGCCAAAGAACTTCATATCAAAGTTGGAGAAAATAGATGATTGGTAACGATCAAATCAAGAAGCTGTGCAAATCGTCCCCTCTTTCCTTTATAACATTCGGAAATTAGAAAATATTTAACTAAACAAGTGACTCTTGTTCATGCCATTGTTTCATGCCGCCTGGATTATCGTAACAGTTTATTATATGGACAATGGTGTTTTACTGGAAACTAAAACACTCATATAGAACTCATATGCCACTACATCCGGGACCAGATACGCGTATTGTGCTGTGCTTCTTTGAGCACGTGAGGCTTCAACTGTTTCTGTGCAACTGGAAGACTTGTCCGTGTACGTCTTCCATACAGTACTTGAGCGGGAGATCCATCCACTCCTGTGTTGGTGTATTTCGCCATTCTAGTATGCTGAGTAGTGGATCGCGTTTGTCTTTCCGGACTTTTCTTAAGCCCATTCTCCATTTGGCGAATTTCTTCGCGCGAACAGGAAAAAAGTAGGAACTGATCCAACTTTTTCGCGGCGATTTTTTTCGCTGACCAATCGCATTGCCAAGATTTGTTTTTCGCTTCGCACGAACAGATTCGCCTAATGGAAAATGGGCTTCAGTAATGACTTGCAGGTCTTCACTGCGTTCTCCACTCTACCTTGCTCTGTGTGGTGAGGACTGGAGGTGACATGATTAAAGTTCCATTGCTTATTAAACTCCTTGAAACTCTCGCTGATGAACGGTGGTCCATTGTCGCTTATTACTGTAGCGAAAATGCCGTGTCTAGCGATCCACGATTTAGGTATAGGGTAAACACCGAGAACGGAGGCTTTAGGCCAGATAAACCCCTCGGGGCTTATGGCACAATTAGCGAGGTTTCGTTCCCGAAACAGCTCTTGTGCTTGTGGGACGTAGGATCTGGTTGAACATGCGCACTTTAAAGGGTATTGGCAACAAAAAATTTTATTGATTTTATTGCTTCATCTGAAAGAGCATGAAAAAATAAGCCGATTGGCCGTTTACTGCTCTATTCTATCTCATCTGGTTCCGAAGTTATACGCAAAAATGTGCAAAATATAAATTGCTGATTCAGCACAATGTGTGACGTCATAAGCTGGGTAAGTATGTTTATTGAATAGTAAACTAAAGCATAGCTGAGTTATTATTGGCTCAAATCAAATGAAATTTTGCATACAGATAGTACATGATGAGACGCATGGGAAAATACTTCTAATTTCGTTGTCAAGGCAACACAGTCGTTCCCAGGCCCCTTACACTGATTTTGAATAACTAGTTGCATTTCTCTATGTGTATGTCATTTTTGAATTATTATCATGCAAGTAAACTTTCGGCATGCATAGGTATCGTACACATACTTCTGATATTATTTTATTTTTATCAGTACCTTGAATAAAGCTGTTTTATAAAATTGGCGCAAGGGGCCTGGGAACGACATTGTTACCTTGGCAACAAAATTAGAAGTGTTTTTCCATGCGTCTCATCATGTACAATCAGTGTCCAAAATTTCATTTGATTTGGGCCCATAATAACTGAGCTATGCTTCAGTGTAGTATTCAATAAACATACTTACCCAGCTAATGACGTCACACGTTGTGCTGAATCAGCAATTTATATTTTGCACATTTTTGCGTATAACTTCGGAACTAGATGAGATAGAATAGAGCATTAAACGGCCAATCGGCTTATTTTTCATGCTCTTTCAGACGAAGCAATAAGATAGATGAAGCAATTTTCGTTGCCCATACCCTTTAATATAAATAAATCAAATGATACCTTTTTTCTCCCAGTCATCTAGATCATCACACACGGCTTTTTCATCAGCTTTTGGTAAATTACTCGTTTTTATGAATGATTTTAAGTCTTGTATTGATGCAGTGAATACTGCATCGGTCCATTCTGAAAAGTTGCAATGGGCCCACTTGTTTCTAATATTTTCCTTTACTATCTTGGCATTAGCTGCAGCAGAAGAAAATGGCGTTGCATTACACATCACTGCCAAAATTGCTGACATATCCATCGTGTCATCAAAACCAGTACACTTTGCCATATAAGGTTGCATAAACAACTTTGCTAAAGACAACGGATCTTTTACCGCAAAGTCATAACCACCACACGATTTGTCATTGTTGTTGATGCTTTTATAATTTAGATGGAATCCTGAAGGTGGAAGTGTCCTCTTATACTTTCCGCGAACTTGTTTGTCAATATCATTGGGCGGTTTACACAAAACATTATACCAGTTTTGTAGCTCACTTGCCAGTACTTTTCTTAAGGCAGGGGCGATAACTTTTGTAAAACATACACCAATAACAACCCATCTTCTCTCTTCGTTTGATATATTACAAGTGCTTGCTGAACTTGCCATTAGTTATCTATAAATGAAATGTAGTTGAAAATCGGTGTTTGACTGCAAAAGTATTTCTGCGGTAATCAGTGCTGGCAAAATTATTTTCTGATACCCCGACGTATCAAAAAATTTCCCAAGTTTCGATAGCAGTTCCCATGAAAAATAATAGACGGAAGGTCAGTTGCAATGTTTTCATATTATTTAGTAACCACTACTGCCAAACTACCTCCCTTAGCTTGGCACTTGAGATAATGCGTGAAACCTTCACAGCTTTGCGTTACTGCCATATTTGATTGAAAATTGAGCTCTTCTATCTTCATTGCTAATATAAGTGACCAAGGCTCCCCCGCAACTCTGGACGGAAGTTCAAAGATGTTTGAAATTCCAACAGACTCATTGATAAAATTAGGCTAAACTGCGCTGGAGTGCTGTAAAATGTCTTTCACAAAACGTAAAAAAGAAGATCCACACAATCTTCTGACTATCGAATTAAGATATGGGGAAATGCGTGACGGAAAAGGTCGACTGGACCAAAATTTCAATATGGCTAATAATATGGTATTCCACGCTAAATACGGGACGCTGTGTAACAATGCTGTAACTGTGATTTTACAACTAGTAAACCTACTGCAAATTTGCATAAAATTGAAGCCAAACGCATGGTTTCAGGAATCATGATTTGCAGTAGCAAAATTGCGGTAATATGGCATCTGAAGAGGATATCGATGTTTAATTAATTAATGTTTTGGGTTGTATTTCCCCAGGAAGACGAGAACTGATGCCCAAAGCAGGATACAACAAGTCACATGTCCCTATATGCCTTAAAGG